GGCCGCACCTTCGTCTCTGACACCTTGTAGCTGTGGTTGTAGCCTTTCCCCGACGTCCAGTTGATGCCGTGTGCAAAGGTCTCGTGAGACCCCCGGGGGTAGAGACCGTTGAGGTTCGACAGGTGACACTGAAAATACCACCAGGCCCCACTGTAGCGCTCAGCACACTTTTCTGGAACGGAGTCATTGTCCTGGTCTTTGGTGGAGAAGGCGAGGTTGTTGTGGTTTGACAGGGAATCCCCTGCACAGAGGGAGAGTGGGCCGTTTCACCTGGATCCTAGGTCTAGGCAGGAACCGTCCTGTCCAGGAGTGTAAGACGTGCACTGCACAACTCTCGGGGGTGCCGGTGAACGCTTGCTCTCTGGTACGGTGGCCTTGGCATCCGTCATCCCCTCTGTCCCTGCCAGCTGGCAGGCACCCTGTCTTGGAGGGAGGCCACTCGTGGCCCTGGACTCCTAGGTTGCTCAGCAGAGAGCGCCAGCCACCACGAAGCAGGAGCTCAGCTCCACAGAAATGGGCCACGTTATCCCCCTGCCCCTGTTGGCGTCAATAACGGCGGTAAAGAAGAACACCAGTTCTCCCGGACTTTGTACTGAATGGGTCCCGTGGCCCTCGTCTGCACCGTGAGGCGTGGGTGACATTGCCTTCACGTATGGATGGATGGAGAGCCACGTCGGGCTGCCGCCGCCTCTCTCCCCACAGACGAGGCAGAGCCAGGACGGGAAGCAGGTCCCCTCTGCGCCGCAGCCCAGGCCCCTCGGCCCAGGGCGGACACTCACCGGCGCTGCCCCCAGCGAAGGCCCCCAAACCAGCCTGTACTTCTCGGCCTCGCCCGCCATCTTGAACGAGCTGTACTTGGCAAATTGGCGGTTACCCTCGAAGTCCACAAGGTCTACACGGAGCTCGTTGGTTCCTGGGGCAGAAAGGCTGTGAGGTCCCAGCAGAGGGACCCTCTGTCTCCAGGGCAGGGAGGTGGGAATTTAGGAGAGTGTGTAGGGGCTGTCTGAACTTGGCAGGCAGGGAAGGGCCACACGATCATAGAAGAAGTCCTTGGTTATATGAAGGACTTGAAACCCACTTCCCAAGAGCCCTTCTACTGCACCTGAAACCCCCTCCTCCTGTTCGTCCGCTGGAAACCGACACTACTCTACATCAACAATGTGCATTTTCCCGCCGGCTGTGACCTCACTCGCAGACCCATGCCCTAACGGCTTTGGCGTCCCTCCATGTGGGAAGGTCGGCTACTCGCTGGAGCAGGTGTTTCAGGAGTCCGCCAAGGCGTACTGGGCAGGGAGGGGAGACGGCCCACCTGGCGGCCTCCCCAGGACAGCGACAAGGGACGCTCGGGGCAGACGAGCCTGAGGGTAAAGGCCCTGCCCTCATCCAGACCGCGCAGGCTGGGGTGCTGGGCGGGGACACAGGACCAGGAGGAGAGAGCCTCTCTCTCCCCC